GAGCTAGATCATCAACATAGACTGTGGCAGGGAACCGCTCTTCCTCTAACATTCCCAGAAATTCATCGAAGACAAGCTTCCGTAGAGCTGGACCAAGGACTGATCCCTGAGGGCATATTCTCTCTATGGAGGCTTTTACGTCATAGCGATTCCCTCTAATCTTGACACCCCTGTTTCCTGGAGGTAGCTTCTTACAAACTGCTGGAGCTCGCTGGGCCACCATACACCAAGGCGGAGGATATATCAAAAAGTAGTAACATAACATAATGTTCTGCCCTTTCTTCAACATCTTGGCGCACTCTGAACAGAGCATCAGCGGTCCCTCTGCCTCTAGTTGAACCATATTGAATCTGTCGAAAACAAGGCGTAAAATAGACATCATGAGGTTATCCAAGACATAGCTTATCCCTATCTCCTCCCTTGTAGAGGATTCTCAAATCAGCAATCTACCAGCTTCGTGGGAAGTATCCCATATCCTGACATTCGTTGGAAAATCTTTAAATATGAACTTCAATATAAGGAATACTGTTCCTTAAGATTGCCGCGTCGAGGTTTTCCTCACCAAAAATATATTGTATTCAAGTCAAGAAGAGATGCCGCTGGGCACTACTTTCCCTCACGCCGATCAATCCACTGTATTTCCCCGACAGCAGACTAGCTAATGGTCAGTACTTCTGACAGGAGTGGGCAAAAAAAGTAATAATAAAGTTTAAAAAAAAGCTCTATTTATTTTATTTGTTTGCGTTCGATATGTAATGAACTCTTACTTGAAATATTGATTACATAGAATTTTATAGCCCTTTCACATTGCCAGTATAAATATATTTTTTATTAATTATTATTATTTTTATTACAAGGACCCAATTAACGAAAAAAAAATCAATAAATGGATAGCAGCAACTTAACGCGTGTGTTTTAAATAATAGTAATAAAAAAAAATGTTGATTTGAAATACATCGTATCAATAAGGCTCATGGAGGTCATTGATGTTATTCGCCATTTATTTAGAACGATTTCGAACTCAACGAACTGTTTTGACGTCAAAAGTTGATGTTTTTGTAGTAATAGGTTTATTTATTTTTTTTTTACAATCTCTCCATTTAGACAGGATTATATAATCGACTCCTCACTTGTCTGTAAAATTTGGTGTATATTTATTACTCAATATAATTGAATAAATAAAATAAAAGTAGTCCTGCAATGAAGTTAATCATGCATTATTTTCACTTAAATCCGAATTTCTCTGCCTCAGATCGCGTTTCAATATTATTTTTAATCTATGAAAGAGGCTGACTTAAATAAAACCATTCAAAACCTTCTATAATATATTTTTGATTTGTCATGTGAAAAACAGAAATTAATGTTCTGTCTTTAAAATACTATCAATACCTCATTTCTTGAAATTTTGCTCCAAATCCTACTCATTTCTCAGGATCTGATTTTACGTGGAAATTAACAATTATTATTTTTTGGATATTGGATATGGTACTATTTAAGTTTTTTACCCTACTATATTCGTGCAAAATGTATTTTTATTTTATGAAACTTTATATCATTTTTAACTAAACACGAATATGAAATGTTGTTTTTTATAAATAAATATAATGCATGATTACGAATATAAAAATAATAACACACGAACTTTTTTTTGTTTGCAAACGTATTCCCATATAAATGTAAAACAAATGGAGCTAAATATATAAAAAATGAATTTTTAGCTTGTGTCATTGAGTGGTATAAAGTATTTTATAAATACATCTTTTGTATACTTCATATGATAGCGAGATTGATGGAATTAATAAAATATTTATTTTTATTATACGTAAAGCCCAAAGGCCAGGGTGGTAATTTACCTTGGGACGGGTTATGAGACACATACTTTCAAGTTACTGTGACTTTTAAGATTCCTAAATAACATAAAAAAGTAATAAAAGATGAGCTAGTAATTCAGTAAATAAAAAAAAAAAAAGTTATTACTATAACAATACCAAGACCTGATGTTTCTGTTGCAGCAATCTGGGAAATATTATGGTTTGTCAGTGCTATAAAAATCACAATGGTGAAAAGATTTTATTTCTCTGATTGCCTATTTCACTGTTATGATCCAATTATAAAACCAATTTTATTATCCCGCGGAAGATCGATCATGCCTTTTTTTAATTTTATTTTTTTAAGGATTATGAGAGGTTCTTTTACTCTCATTCATTCATTTAACTTCGGATAGGCTACTGTTTACTAATACAAAACTGTTTACATTTTATTTTTCTATAAAATGATAAAACTTGCCGTTAATTTTGCTATAATTAAAGCCCTCTATATAAGTTTACTCCACCGTCAAAAACCTTGGAATAACCTTCGATCAAACACTCTCCTGGAAAAAACATGTATCCAATATTTCCCGCCATACCATTTCCACTCTAAAACGTCTAAATTATTCTCGTCACCTATTTCCATTTGAAACCCGTAGGCTCCTAGTCACTTCCTTAACTTTCTCCCACTTTGATTATTGCTGTTCGGTATATGGGGGCGTCTCTGGGGATCTCGAGGCGAAACTAAAACGTTTAATAAATTGCTTTGTACGATCCATCTTCGGGATACCAAGGGACGCCTCTGTTTCCCATTTTTATGCAGAGTTGAAGTGGCTTCATCCTTCCTACCGTCGTAAATATTTTCTGGCATCCTTCCTCTTTCAAGTCATCCAATCCCACCGTCCTTCATACATCTGTGAGCTCCTTCAATTCAAATCCTCTGTTCGTTCCCGGTCTTCTGATTTATACATAAGGGCCCACCGAACCGCTGCTTTCGACAGATCTTTCATTATCCGGTCCTCATCCCTTTGCAACTCCATCCCTTCTCACATTCGTCAATATAATACCTCCCTACCTTTAAGTCCCGCCTGTTCAATCATTTCTTATCCATCCAGTCCCCATGAAATTGTAAATAGTTACTAATGTAAATATGTATATAAATTATTAGATCTTTCTTCATTATTTTTACTTCATCCTTTTTTTTTAATTTTTAATTTTTTATTATTAACTGATTCAAATTAGAAAGTAACTTATAATTTTATTACTATGACTGTTTAATTACTCTGTATTTTTATGTATGTATCTCTGAGGCTCCTAAGCCCATATTTATGTCTTTCTGTATTATTTTAAAGGGACTCGTCCCAGAATAAATAAAGTATTATTATTATATTTAGCTTTCTTCTCTCTTTCATTAAAAACCCGAAACATCCCTAGAAATCTCAGATTCTGGGTGTCTAATACTATAATAAAGCCAGGGATGATATAAAGTTGCTTGATCTGGACAATAACATCTTATGAAGTCTGTAGGTTTTTTTTTGCCACCTATGTGGCAGTCCAGGCGGATTCAGTGACCTGAAAAGCAGATTAATCGCTTATTGCAGGCAATGAAAAAAAATTGATATGCCTGCCTATAATAGCCGCAGACTTTTCATTTCAATGGGGGGGGGGAGGTGCAAAAGACCAAAAAAATTAATAAAAGTGGCAGTAGTTTTTAACAAAATTATTGTGAAACGAGCAAATATATAATATTTAAAAATAAATTTATTTATTTGTTTGGAAGTTGTAGAATTTTTCATATGCATATCGATATACTTGAAAATATCTGAATAAAACAATTGGATTTATTACAATTCATATGCATTAAAAATGGAAGAAAGGGGTTTTTCTACAAATTTTATAAATTTACTGCGATAAAGTAGGAAATTTTATAAGAAAATCACGTGAAAATGGAGGTGTACACATGAGAGATGAATTGATCATAAAATCATACGAAATGTTTTTATAAAGGAAGGAGATGGTCCGGGGTTGCGGTCATAAATATGCTATATAGTGGTAAAACTATTTTATTGAAAGCCAATGTTTCGACCCGACTTTGCAGGTCTTCATCAGGGCTAAAACTGACAAGATACAAAAAGATAGAGAATTGTGGCAATTACATAATTTTAGACATAATTTATAAACAATGTGAATAAGCTTATTAAAATTATAAATAGTAAGTACAATAAAATATGGACAAAGTAAGCTGAGTAACAAGATCCTAAACTGAAGTAAATAGATGCTAACTATAGTTGTAGTGTAATATATAATAAATGAAAATGTGAATATACTTCGACAAAATCTACAGGAGAGAAATAAAATTAGAGACTTACAGGTGTGTTCATCTAGGAGTTTCACTTAGAACTGGAAAGTACACTTAGTAACATTGTTTATAAATTATGTCTAAATATTATGTAATTGCCACAATTTTCTATCTTTTTGTATCTTGTCCGTTCTAGCCCTGATGAAGACCTGCAAAGTCGGATCGAAACGTTGGCTTTCAATAAAATAGTTTTACCACTATTTAGCCTATTTATGACCGCAACCCCAGACCATTTCCTTCCTTTATAATGCAACGGTCAACTATTATATATTCGAAATGTTTTTATATAATCATATCTGAATATAAATGAAAATTTAAATAACAGGAATGTTTAGGTCGTGATAAAATAGTTACGTACCTACTTATAGGCATTATCCTAGCCAGCTAATCGAACTTTCTTAATCTTTTTATTATGATTTTAGTTTACATATTTGATTTATTCATTTATCTTATTTTTCATCAATTTTAATTTTTGTATTACTTCATACTATTGGTGAGGTAGAGAGGAGAGTGCGAAACGATATTCTCGCCCTCTCAACATTTTAATTGGTGAAGCGATTTCTTTAACAGAGGTAAAAATTGAAATTTTGAAGCTCATCGATATAATTTGTTTGTTCAACCTTGTTTGGAGAAATGTGCCCTGGGCATAAATCAGTCGTTCAGGTGCCGGGATGGAACGCATATCAATTCTGGCATCCAGTCCAAATATTTACCTTTTATCATGCCATGACCTGAAAGCAGCAGTTGCCACATGTATCACAGCCGACTCCATACCAGCAAATAATGCGCGGACAATGTGCTGAATCTTGTTTACCGTTCTCTGCTGTGGATTCCTAGATAAGGATATTTTTATGACAAATCGCTGTTGTTGACCCCGACAGGAGAAAAAGCTCAATTGTGAACGCTATTAAACATCCTAGGTCTCTCTGAGGCCTATTGAACATAAGAGCCTAAAAGAAAAAAAAAATTTTTTCATAATGTAACATAACATTTTACCTTCTTTAAAATTGTATTTGAATAAGGAAAGTAATTTAAAATGTCCGGATACAAAACATTTAGTGAGTATAAAATTTTCGCCCTTTGGATAATAATATATTAGTGATTCATTTATAAATAAATAATTAGACCTAGTAGTAATAAATAAAATAATCAAAAATTAGTATTTGATTGCAAAATTTATTTGTATGTTTCGAGGAAACTCTATTCTCCTCATCATCAATATATTATTCACCCAGGAAAATGGGTTAGTCACAAAGTTACAATTCAATAGGATTGAGTAATGGTACTTAAAACTTATTTAATAATATATTGCTGAGCAGGAAGACAGAGTTTCCTCGAAACTTACAAATAAATTTTGCAATCAAATACTAATTATTGGCTAATTTATTTATGACCAATGGGCAAATGAACCACTACAAAATGAACGAAGGTCAAACAAGCATAATGAAATAATATAGTATTACATCGACAGCCACACTGCAAAAGCCTGCAAGTACAATTTAATTACAAGGTTACAAAATTTTGAACTTCGCCGGTTAATCTTAGTTTCAGACATATTAATAAAAACAAAATAAAAACGTCATTTAGAACTTTACTTCTTCGTCTATATAAATAAAATAAAGGTGTTGTCTGTACATTGAATATAATCAACCCGTTTCATGATATATTTCCATTTCATACATATACACAAAATCCACTTTTAAAAATTTTTTGTCCGCCTGTATGTCCGCATTGTCCAACAAAATTTTGTCAGGAGTAAGCTCAGCAATGGCTTATGGTATACTTTTGAAATGTTGACATTATATTTAGGTTTGCTTGACTTAAAACATAGAATTTAAATTAAAACGAAATATTGAGTAGAACCAGAGTTATGAATTCTTGAGTAATTTTTCCATAGAGATCTTGAGTAGGTTGTCTAGAGATCCCGATTAGGCAGTTACTTCGATTCTCATCCCGACCTACTCTACCGCGAGCCACATTTAAAAAATGTACTATTCAACTGATGGAAAAAATAATCACAACTCAACGAGAGAATTCCGAAATTCCGAACATCTCTAACGCGTTGTCGCTTAAAACACAGGTAAACATTCATAATTTTTCAACTTCGTCCGATCTTCCCGTTCAAGGTGCCATTCGATTCAACTACCCGAGCCTAACAAATGCTGTGTACATTTGTATGATCAACCAAACGAGTTAGCCGGAAATTGAAAAAAACAAAACAAAAATTTCACCCCATCCGCCACAATATTCATATCAAGTTTTAATTTTAAAGGCATATAGGTGACTTAATGTTACAATATACCCGTCAACGAAGGGTATTTTTAGTATTAAGCATATAATAATAATTGAACGGAAAATCTACTTCATAGAAGAAAGAAAAGGTGGTTTATTTTGTCTTATTAATAATTTTGTGTTTTGTACTTACAGACTTTTGCAGTGTAGCTATTGATATATATTTGATTATTATTCTATATATATGGTATGAACATAGTTGAAAATATTTTTTAGGTAATATTAGTAACATAAAACTCGATAATTAGTTGGAGGAAATCAGTATTCGGTTCTAGGAGAAGCCAAGAGGGGAGAAAAATATCCATAGGACTCTCGGCTATCATGTTACTGTGATGGTTAATCATTCGATATTTTTTTCACTGAAGTATATATTTTAATCCATCTGATGTATCAGTTTATTTAATTGTTTATCCTGTTAATTGGAAAATTTCTGATTATTTGTGTACAAAGTCCGCTCATCATTATCAATCTCAAGTTGACAGCTGAGGTTCTTGAAAATGTGATAAAAATGATCTTGAGATAACTTTTTATTAAAATCAATGACAGAATATTTAATCGCCAATGTCAAATTCATTAAATTTGGATAACACTCAGGATTACTTTTGCCATTACGGATGGGAGTATTATTAATAATATTTTTTATTAATATTGTGATGAAAAAAGAAAAGAAAAGAAAATGTATTAAACATGATAGCAAGAGGATATTATAAAGTCTTATGTCATTCAAATAAAATTAAATTATAAACCTGACAGCATTTTGACGTTGAAATATCACCAAGATTTCATTGTTTACTTTGTTATTATACTTACATATCTCTGAGTCTCTAGAACTCACTCTCATAAAATAGAAACCACATCTCTATTGAGATGTTACGTTTTGGGTTTTGAAATTTTATTCGGGATGCCACTGGATAATTATCCAGAATTATTTAATACAAATTAATTAACAAAAAATTAGTAAAATAAATTTGGATGCAAATATATTGATTGGTCTAGAATTAATTAATTGGATTTCTTTTCTCAAAGGCTAGTTTGTGTTTATCATGCTTTATAATTACCAACATTACCTGTGATCATCATGATGTATAAATAGGTGGTAGATTAAAATAACTTTTACTAAAAAACTTAATTTATTTCTATATTTAATAAAAAATTGTATACAAATTATATATTTACAAGAAACTAAATGATTCAATGAATTTAATAATTAACTGTGAAGGTATGATTTCAGATAGACTATTTTGTGAATTGTATTGCCATGAAATATTCTAACGTTGGTAAATTTATTGTTGTTAATAAAACTTATCTAATGTATATGAAGTGGTGTAGTTGGTTTGTTTCATCACTGCATCTGCTGAGGTCATGTCGTCATGGTTCAAAACTCTGCCAGGATCATCATGGTCTATGTAGGGCCAAGGCTTCAGTCCTCAAGCCGGAACTCAACATAAGACCTCAAGGCAAGGTCTTTTCTTACTTCTCGGCGTATTATATACAAATATTCAGGGTGGGGTAAGGATGGTTTCCATTGGTTCTTGACTTTCTCCTATTACTTCACAATAACTGGTAACACCCTAAAAGGAACCAGTTACTTAGCCCGTTACTAGTTTTTACTCTAAGTCTTCCCCAGGTTCAAGGTACAGGTCGGTCCTTATCTGCCTGCTTCTCCTCCTTGACGCAGGCTCCTTGATGTCAGAAGTCGGTTTCATTCAACCTTGTTTTTGACAAATAATAATTTAAAAAAACTTATTTGCTATGTTCAATAGATAGCATATTCACCGGCTATGAAAAAGAAAAAATGGCAATCGGAGATTGACATTTTTTCTTAACTGTAATGATTATTATAATAATTTTAAAGAAAATTAAATGTTAATGGCGATATTTTTTCTCAACACAGTCCTTACATTTTAATTTCCATCACATATATGTACTACTAATTTACATAATTACATAACTCTATTTATATATAACTCTATCTGCCTACCTTCCTTTATCCTCAGGAGTTGCACAGGGTTCAAGCATGTCTCCTCTTCTTTTCAGTTCTTATATTAATGACCTAAATGATTCAATTATCCATTGTTCCCACCACCTTTATGCCGACGATTCTCAAATCTATTTATCCTTTTCTCCCGCTGAGTTATTGGTGGCATTTGCCAAAATTCAAGAAGATTTAGATCGAATTAGTGCCTGGGCCAACTTAAATGGATTAAGGCTAAATGCTGCCAAAACTCAGGCCATTCTCATTGGTTCCAAGCCCCTTCTTAGATCCCACACCAACTTTCCCTCACTCTATCTAAACAACCACCCCATCACCTTCTATCCCTTTGTTAAAAATTTAGGCTTTCTCATAGATCAAACCCTTTCCTGGAATCACCATATCTCTCATATATCCCGCCGTGCAATTTCTACCCTCAAACTATTCCATCACTTCCGCCATCTTCTACCCCAAAATACCCGTAGACTCATAGTTTCCTCTCTCATCTTTCCCCACTTTGACTACAGCTGTGTGGTGTACGATGGCCTCTCGGTGGAACTGCGTGATAGACTCAAAAGACTTATGAATTGCTTCGTAAGATTTGTAATGGGAACCCCGAGACGCTCCCGTGTCTCCCACCACTACACTGAGTTAGGGTGGCTCTTCCCCTCCTTAAGAAGACAATATTTCCTTGGCACTTTCCTTTATCAAATCATTACCGATCATCGTCCTTCTTATGCCTACAACCTTCTCCAATTTAAGTCCTCAATCCATTCACTCACTACAAGATCTCGACCCTCTGACCTATACATCCCTTCTCATAGATCTGCCTCATTCCAAAATTCCTTTATAGCCCGCTCTGTCAACTTTTGGAATTCCCTCCCGATCAAAATTCGACATGCCCCTTCCCTGTATACATTCAAAAACCTCCTATTCCAATTCCTGTTCCAAAAACAGTCTGATACCAGCTAACTATTGATATTATATATGTATTGTGTAGCAATCATATAATCATAACACTTGGTAAGAGATAGTACATGCATTTCCTACTATCGACGTAGGAATTTCAATACATACACTTTTTTTATATTTTTTTTTTTTATTCAATTATAAGTAACTGTTTATTTTTATATATATATTCAAGTAAAGTTTTTTTTTATTGTTTTTTTTTTTTTTTTTTTTTTATGAAATGAACTCATTGTATCTCTTTTCCGTTCTTCATTTCTCAAAGTGTATGTTTATGTTGTTCAACCCTTAAATATAATTTTGTTCATAGTTCAAGTGATTCGTTCATAGTTTTAATTGTTTTGTTCATAATTTTAAATGCTCTGTACATAGTTTTATCTGTTTGTATATAGCTTGTGCACCTAAGGTTTTCTTTACTTTTTATTTTATTCTATCAATTTTATTTATTGTTTCAACGTTCAGGCCAGTAATATTCTATTATTTTGTACATTATTGTTATTCTGAAGGGACTTAGTCCCAGAATAAAGTTTTTTTTTCTATCTATCTATACAATTACTTTACATTGGGATTGTAGCCCATACAATATATGTACAATAAGTAAGTGTAATTGGCAACTACTAGCTAGGGAAGCATAGCGCTAGTTTTGTTAAATTAGTATATCTAAACCTAGCATTTATCTATGTTCTTATACATCGATAAACCTAACTATAATCACCTCTTAGCATGTAGGTTATTACAATTACAAATACCTATGAGTATTTTCCTTATGAACTACTATTATACATATATACAAATATTTGACACTAAAGATATTAATTTACATATTTACAAATTGTCTTGGTGGCTCTCAGGTAGTAGATAGGCCTTTTCCGCCTCATTGACTTATGTCATATTTTTCTACCTGATCCTGTGTTACGATGACAAACATGACCAGTATTCCCAAGTTTAATACTTCCTTTTTAAGAAATATTTTATGCCAAGTCATTTTCAATTCCCAATAAGAATAATAACACTTACATTTATGTATAAATTAAAAGAATAAAGTATTTGTGACATGCAGTTGATTATTCTTTTTGTATAAACAACAATCTATTTATTTATCTCTTAACCCAATGAATAATACAACATAAGTTAATACACTATTAGAATACAAATTCAGATAAGCCTACTTTGATGTAATACGCGCAACAAGTCCCATCGTAAAAACAATTGAGCTCCATTAAATTTGATTGTTTTAGTTCTTTACAACTTGGATCATTACACAATACAAACTCAGTCATCATGAGTATCATAGAAGATCTCTTTGTCTTCTCTAAGTTATGGTTTCTTACCTTATTATATATAATCAAATTATATTACCTATCCCACTTTAGAGATGTAAGGAGAAACTCTGTCTACTACTAAAGTCAGGGTCACTATTCCCTACTGACTTCAAAATAAATCCACTCAGGATAATAAAAATAAATAAATAATTGATCCAATATTCCGAAGGTGTTTTCTCCAGGATTGCTCTTCTGTAACATGAAACTTACTACTATTGCGGTACTCGGCTATTATTTATCTAAACGATAAATAACCTCTAATATTCACGATTTTTAAATTGATCTCTTATAAAGGTCTATCTTCTTGGTTAACTTTCTTGCTTTTATGTTAATTATTTCTTTTTTTATTTTATCAAAATTAATATTAATGTGTTCGTAGACCTACATTAATCTTTATGACTCTAAAAATGATTTTTTCTCTGGTTCCTTTTATTAATTCCAAATTCCGTATGCTTTTTGAATACGCTGGTTTTGATGTCAGAAGTCGGTTTCATTCAACCTTGTTCTTGACAAATAATAATTTTTTTTTTGGTTTATTTTTTTTATTCATACCTGCCATAATGGTAATGACAACCAGTGAATGTGAGGTTGATTCGAAAAAATAATGTCATGAAAGGCATTACGAGGATCAGTGCCCAGCGGCACCTCAGTCGGCGTGATATCTACATTAGGCGAGGAGGTCCCTCATCCAGCTCCTCTTCAGTCTCCTACAGACGTTACCTGGCATATTCGTAGTGGCCATGTCATTTATAAGTGTATTAGGATGTCCTTGTAAGTTGTCATGGAATCGTTTGTAATGAGTTCGTATGTGTTCGTTAACAGTTGGCATATGGAGGTCAGTATGTAACGTTATGTTGCTAACGTACCAAGGTGCTTTTGTGATTGTCCTGAATGTTTTTGCTTGAAAGGTTTGAAGTTTGTTTAAGTGAGTCTTTTTAGCAGTTCCAAATATTTGTGATGCGTAAGTCCAAA